GATGGCATGGAATATTTAATTATTTTTTATTATTTGGCCAGGAATTCGGAAAGACCATATAAGCTCATCCATAGCCTGCTCCTTCCTGTGCTTGGTCTAAATTTGTTAGCCTCATGGTGCTCACTGCATGTGGAAATGTTTCTGGTGGTTCAACTTGGGCACCTCCCCAAGGAAGCCGCTGTTTCCATAATACAGAGGCAGTCCACATGCTCGCAGAAGCGTGTGTGCCCCGTTTAGAAGTGGCACCAATCAGGGATTTTCCATCTCTCTTGTGTTTTACTTGACAGAGCAATGTGAAGTATTCATCTTTTAGATTAGACAGAAGAGAAGGTGGCTGGGTGCTGAACAACTCCAGTGGTGTTAGTGAGGGATGGAGATGTGCAATTCCTTGGATGAAAACTGAGACAGAACCATTTAGTACTTGAACACCTGCAGGTGCATTTGTACTGGGTAACTCCAAACATCTTGGCTTGAAAACATCTTCTCTGATTCTTCTCACCAGAGATGACTCAAGACATGTTCTCTTTTTGAAGTAAATTGCACTCCTGAGCATGATTCATATCTAACAGAGAACAAAAAACTGCAAAGACCAAACTTTTCTTTCTTTCTTCCTCTGAAACCTTGGAAAAATTGGAGGACTTGCTCCACTGCTCCCACAACCATTCAACATCATCAAAAGGAGAACAGACATGTTTTAGGTAGTCAGTCAGCACAGCTTTGATCTTGCACAGAGCAGCCCTATTACCAGAATTTAAACAAGTCAGTGTCCATCTCCAGAAAACACTGCCTCATGGCTAAAATCATGGCAACAACAGAAATATAGCCCTAGGAACATATTTCAAGCACAGAATAGGAAATAGCCTCCTGAGCCTCCAAAACTCCGGTCAAGAAAGTCATTAAGTAAAAGTCCTTCATAAACTCCTGAAACTCTAGTTTGACTCTAAGTTAATTTTTTCCTCTGTTACATTGCTCCTGGGTGCCTCTGCTCTGTGGGTTGGAAATCAACCTCTAACACCCACTCACAGGTTTAACTGTAGCTGTCTATACCCATTTCTTCTTGCTCTGACATTGTCCTTGGCTGTAAGTAGCTCTTCAGTTTCTAACGTTTATCCAACAGTGATACATTTATAGGCAGCAATAATACTCCTTGCCAGCCTTCATACTGCTAGGCTACGATACTCCTATTTCAGATTCAGCTTATGAAACCTTCCACAATTTAAGAATATAGCTCTTTGGGCATAATTTTAATTACTGGTATTATTCCAGGACTTCATAAGGACCCTGCTCTCTGCGGTTTCTGCACTAGGTAGGTTCCATACAAAAAGCCTAAAGAAGAAGTGATACAGAGATGAGATGAGATGAGATGAGATGAGATGAGATGAGATGAGAGGGAGGTGAGTAAAGGCAGCTGGAAGCAGAGGCAATGGCCTAAGGTTAATCAACAGGAAATGTGTTTCTGTCCTCTATCGGAGTCTGTGAGACAGAACACTTCAGATGGTTTCAGGCTGTACAGGCACTTCAGATGTTTTGTATTCAAAGAGCACCTCATTGCATATGTGCTTATTTACAGAGCTCCATCGCTGTCAGTCCTGCCTTGCTTTGAGGACTTCACTATGAACTATTACAGGGTGGGACAGAGTGCTGTCTGCAAACCTGCAGCCATTGCATCCACTGAACACAATTACCAATATTTAGGACGAAGTTTAAAAAAATGCAATAAGCCTGAATCATTATTTAAGGCTTTGCTATTCTGCTTGGCAGATGCAACAGACTTAACTTGGCCAGGTGGAAAGACAAGAGAGGAAGGGGAAATGGATCATGAACACTCATGAATTCAGTTAGATGATGTCCTGTCCTGGGACTTGCTCTTTTTGCCCTTGCTCCATGACAGAAAGGTGTTTATGGGAGGACTGTGCCTTAGATCTGGAGCCTGCTCTGCTCTAATAACACCAGACACCACATGATTTTTAAATGTTAACCAGGACTAATTGTGCAGATCACCTACCCACTTGATATATGCCTAGTGCCTAGGCTGTGATAGATGTCAGATCACCCTGCTGTGTCTGGATGCTCTACATTCCTTCTGACAGGTTCCTACAAATCATTTAATCAGACTCTTCCACTTTTACTAACAGAAGCCTGGAGCAGCAGTCTCAGCAGCCGCACACCAGACTGAAGGTCAAGAGGCAGTTCAAAAGAGCTTGGAACAGATAAAGGAAAATAGATCTGTCTCTCCTAAACCCTGGAGCTGGTTAGGGGGGAAAAGGAAGAAGAAAAAGTGAGTATGTTCAAGGAAGAAAAGTGTCGGTGTTCTGGGGGAGAAACTATGTGAGATTTAGGAAATCTGGCTGTAATCACTAGAAAGGGCACACTGCCTCAGGTCCATGAGAAAAATAATCAGGTGTTTTAAAGGGGAAATAGAAAGAGGTAAACTTCAGGACAACAGGAAAGCAACATTTCTCTCCAATCCTTAATTTGCTTTCATTACTACGATACTAATGACAAATGATGTTGTCCCAACGTTTATAGCTTTGGGTTTTTTCAGAGCTGCTTTTATCCAGCAAACTGTGCAGAAGGACTTGTCATTTTTAATCTGCAGCCCGTCTTCCTTTCAGCACCATCATTCTTTACTGGATTCAAAACTCAGTGGGGACTTAGATGTTTCCCAGAACGAATACCCGTCTTCCTGTAGTCAGAACTTTTGCTTTGGCCAACACTGCACAAATAAAACATCTTCTGATTGAATCCTGTCAGGTCACTGATGGTAACTGCCAGCACAGTGTTTAATAACAAGACAGGGGTATTACAAACGACTCCTATTCCACCTCAGAGGCTGATACAGCACACTAACAAGAAAAAAGCCAAGACAAAGCAATTTGGGTTTCTGCATTATCAGCAACAGTAAAGGAAACATATTATTCAAAAGAGGTGTTGTAATTGTTCCTCTTTTTCTGTTGTTCCTTCACTTTGATTGGTGTTACTGATAGCAGGATTCCTCTGTGGAAAATTCCTGCTCTGCCGGTGTGAGAATGTGATTATGTGGGACGATGAGAGCTGTGCCAGCAGAAACTGCCTGCGTGCACCTGGGGGACGGATCAAACCTTCACTATTAATGAGAACACACAGACTGTGAGATTCACAGCAGTGCAGACACATTTAACTATGCCCTGTGAAGTCCCCTGAGCAAATCTCTCCAGATCCTGCATTGAAGTTAAATGCAGATCTATAGCACATTTGGTTTATGCACAAATCCCTCAGTTTTCATTCTCAGCAGATGTCTTTTTCTTTGAGTGCTTGTTTTGTTTTGCATTGTAAAGACAGCATGGCTCACACACTTTTAAGACCACCTACATTCAGACCTTGAGCAACCATCCTTGATTTAAATCTTTGGGAGCTGTGTCAATGACTCATTGCCATTCAGTCAGCAACAAAAATCAAGTCCTCTCCCGTAAGTTTGGCTTCAATTTGTCTTATTTAGGTGCTAAATGAAATGTTTACTGGTTTATCATTGCACAGCCAAAATGACTGCTTCGTATGTAACAGAATGAGAGGAAAAAAGGCAGGAATAGGTCTCTGCAGTAAAAAGGAGTCCCTGGATGTGTTCACCTCTCTTCCCAGTTCTGTTGGGGTCTCTTGGCAACACAGAGATGGCAGATTCTTTCACTACTTGCTGCTATATCTGAGCTTTCTGACCCTCACAATATGCTTTGCTGTATGGTTCCTAAGAGTTTAGGACAGCAGGATGTTTCTACTGGCATGGAGGGTGGGTTGTGCATGGAGGACAGTGTTGCATCAGGAACTGAGGCAGACAGGAACTGGGGACAAGATTAATTAGGACAGATTTGGAAAAATGGAGACTAGATCCTGTTCTTTCCCCTTCCCGCTTCAGTAAAACTGTGGACAAAGCTTTCCAATGCACAAGGGGAAGACTTAGCATAAGGCTTCATAGAGATGCTTCACTCTAGGAAAGCAGTAATTCTCTCACTTAGGTCACTACCGTCATGTTGCAATCCTGGGGGAGGTGGGATGGTGTCCTCCATCTATTTCTCCTCTGCTACTACTATAAGATTTTTCTCAAGGATTATCACTGCATAGCACTTAGTGCAGTTGGTTCTAAGTTCAGGCTGAACACTCCAAGACAAGACAGCACAAATATTACAGAAATACCAGTTGGGTATTCCAACAAATAATACAGAAGTATCCAACCAGGCCACTCCTCTTGAAATTTATTCCTGTGACTCAGGCTGTGTACATACAATACACACAATGACTGATGTGCATCTGCCTATTACTTTCCACTAAGTTCCCTTCTCTCCTGCCCTTTCTCTTCTCCCCGTAGCCCTAACTCTTCTTCACAGACTTTGTGTTCACTGACACATCCATTTGACCTGACAAACTCCCTTCTGTACCACTGAACAGAGAAGAGAAGTGTTTCTATGCAGTTTCCTGGATTTGCATTCATCATTTCATGAGCACCAGTGGAGAGAAAGCTCCTTTAGAAAAGTTTTAATTGAAATTAACCCAAAAAATTAACCTCAAAGTTTTAATTGAAATTCACCCAAAGCAAAATGGAAAGATTTCATTCTCTCTCTCCTTTGGTCTAGATCTGGGCATTATTTGTCAGGGAATGCAAAATGTATATGTTATCATGCACTGCCTTATAAAAAACAAAACTCGCTCCCAAAACTTGCAACTCGACACATTCAAATCCCAGCTTCCCTTAACGAAGCACTCTGTGCTCACTGAATTTTTTGCTGCATCAGTAAGTCATGCACAGTTTCTCCTCCTGAATACAAATAGGCTTTAGGTCCTACACACGGAAGCCAACTTTACAGCTCCAATACATCAGTCAATGAAACCATGGACGTGCTTGGGACTGTAAAAGCCATGACCAGTTTTCAAGACCATACACGACCTGGACAGTGTTATTAGAAGGCTTGAGTAACCCTGTAAGTGTCACACACCCAACCAAGTTAGAAGCATGCAAACAGATTACTCACCTCAAGCACAAGAAAAGCATAAAGGCAACTATAAGGGCCCCTACTGATATACAGTGCCCCAGGTAGTTTATGATGAGAGCAATCTTGTAATGGAGCGCATACTTCCTCTGGAGGTAAAGAGATAACATGATTAAATCAGCATGACTCTCTAAGCACTGACATTAAGGAACAGTTAATCAGTTTAGGAAACAGTAATTACTTTTCTCGACTTTAAAATGATATAATAGCCCCAGGGCTGATGCTTATGTATAAGTCAAACATGCTGCTGCCCAGGCACAGAAGTACAGGCTTGGTTTCATTTCAATTTGGTATTTGTCCACAGTTTCTTACAAATGTCAGCAAAAAACTTACTTTTTCCCTTTTTTTCCCAGCAATTTCCTTGGGATTTCCTATTTTTTTATTACACTATTTAAAAACTTTGTCATTTTAGGGTGACAGAGCTACCAAAGACACATCTTCTCAGTTTCAAAAGTCATAGAACATTATTTTGTTAGGAAACTGCATGGTCTTAATGAGCCAGGTTATGTGACTTTCCTACTCCAATGATTTGGTTTTCTTACAAAAATGAATCAGTTATCAGTAAGAATAATAAGCCATTTCTCTGAGGTACATTCCTTGCAAGCTACGATCTTAATCTTTCAAATTAGAGGGCAGAACCAATGAGGACTGAGACCTGGACTCTGGTGATGTCCTTTCAGTTTTGAGAGAGCCTGACAAACCAAAGATCTTGATTTTAGCAACAGCCCAAGTATGTGGTGAAATTTAATGTATTACTGTCCATTTCCTAGGATGTTGAGGAGAATATCAGTAGGTTCTTGATCCTGTAAACAAGAAATTAAGTACAAAAGTACTCCCACCTAAAATTGGTGAATTTAGTGATGTGACCAAAATTAGACCTTGAAGTAACTGGAATTGGTAATTCTTTATTGGTGGGTTTCTGCTGGCTTCAGAGAAAAAAGAAGCATCTCCTCTCTTTGCCTGATGGCTAGGAAGCAGTCGAAAAACACTATTCAGATAAATACTGAAGCTGGTTAAAAACTGATAGTGGTTTTCTACTTGAAGAATAAATCCTCCTGAAAAAGGATATTTATTTATTTATTTATTTTAGCATTTCTTTCTTTTCAGGTTAAGGAGATCTTTCTCTACTTTGGGACATTGTCTTCCTTCAGAGAATGAGACTTTAAAAACTAACCACCTAAATTTCCTCCCATACGATAAAAATATAAAAGTAAAATCCTAATAATGGCATCAGCTTTCTAATTTTGGCTGAACTTCCTTTGCTTCATTTTTTTTCTAGCAATTTCCCTTAACATTTTATTCCAGTCAAAGGAATTTGTTAGTGAATGAATATCTGGATGAAACCGGGACCAGCAGCTGTAGTTAATCTGTCCCATTGTGCTGTGCAGATAGCATCTTCCAGCAGTCAGACAGCGAGCAATCGCTCTTGGAATCACTTTTGTGATGAAACCTGCCTACATCTTCAGCACAGGGAGTAATGTGCTGTTTCTGGACAGAACTCAACCATGTAAGGTATTTTTAACTCTATTATAAAATCCCCTAAAATAAACTTTGCCATGCACAGACCCATTTTCTGAATAGCCTTGAGGAGACAAAAAAAACCCCCAAAACCAACAAACCAACAAGATCTGAATTCCACACCGAGTTTTATTTATCCTTAAGTCTCAGGGGCACTTAAATGGGAGGAAAACACACTTGAGCTGATGTGCCTACCTGAAATGCAATGCTGTACTGTTCAGCTAGTGCCCTGGCACACTGCCTTCCTTATTTAATTTCCTGCTTAATTCATAGAATCACAGAAATTCTCAAGTTGGAAGGGACCCATAAAGATCATCAAGTCCAAATCCCTGCTTCTCACAGGACTACCTAAAACTAAACCATATGACTAAAAGTATCGTGCAGATTGCCCATGCAGTGCTATAAATCTTCTGGAAGATGACAGTATTTTCTCCTAGGATCCCGCTCTTTGGATCTGTCCCTTCAGCTCCCCCCTTTGGCTCATAAATATTGTTTACTCGAGTTTTAAGAAGGTGTGGTTCCAAGCATTAGAAAATTAACTGGAAAAAAATATAATTGAGCTCCTCTAATGCACTGACACTGAAGGAGAAACAGGCGCAACTTGTATTTTTCTGTTGCTGACACTACCAAGGTTTCCTGAAGGCAAATTCAAATATAATAGAAAGAAGAACTGCCTCCGTGCCTGTGAAAAACTAAGCTGACAGGGTGACAAGATCACTTTCCACCAGCCTACATGCAATCTGCATCTCTGGTAGAATTGGCGAGAACACCTTCAGGACTGAAAAACACGTGCCCAGAATCAGTCATGTGTTGGCCAAAGCTCAGTTCATGTAAAATACTTGTATAACTCTTTTTTGTCTCACCCTCTTGAAGACTGATGCATTTCAAGTGGTAACAACCTACTGCTGGTACCCAATATTCCTCTGCTTCCAGGAAGATGTTTCACTCCACTAAAATGCAGATTTAAATCCTCTTCAGACTTGGGAGAAGGGTGTTTACATTAGAAAGGAGATGGAAGACTTCATTTCTGTTTGCCCTAAGTTCAGTCGTTCATAAACACAGTGATACAAGTATTAAAGCTATTGTAATAGAAACAGTTTGGTGTTTTTAGAGTAACTTGAAAATACTCTCCGGTGATCAAGGGCTGGAGCATCTCTCCTATGGGGACTGGCTGAGAGAGTTGGGGCTGTTCAGCCTGGAGAAGAGAAGGCTCCGGGGAGACTTTATTGCATCCTTCCAGTTCCTGAAGGGGGCTTATAGGAAAGCTGGGGAGGGACTTCTTACAAGGGCAGGTAGCGACAGAACAAGAGGGAATGGTTTTAAACTGGAAGAGGGGAGATTTAGACTGGGTATTAGGAAGAAATTCTTCACTTTGAGGGTGGTGAGACACTGGCCCAGGTTGCCCAGGGAAGCTGTGGATGCCTCCTCCCTGGCAATGTTCAAGGCCAGGTTGGATGGGGCTCTGAGCAGCCTGGGCTGGTGGAGGTGTCCCTGCCCAAATAATTCTGTGATTCTGTGAAAAGGAGATGGCCTGGACACTGTTAGCCTTGCTCTCTGGACCACAGCAGGTCACATTCCTGGAGTCCTCTTCCATGCCATACCTTATGCATGACAAACACATTACATCCAACACTGCAGAATTATCTTCCAGCCAGCTTCAACAAGGTAAACTGAGGAGGCACAACCTTATGTCTTTACTTGCACTAGCTTTGCAAATCTAAGGCACACTGGGCTCCCTGCAGCCAGATCTCAGGCTAATGAAGAAGTCCTTCTGCCTAAAGGACATTTTCCTTTGTTTTAGCTAGGACATAGAATCACAGAATGTATTGGGTTGGAAGGGACCTTTAAAGCTCATCCAGTCTAAACCCTGCAGTGAGCAGGGACAATGTCAGCAGATCTGGTTGCTCAGAGCCCCATCAAGCCTGACCTTGAATATCTCCAGGGATGGGGCCTGCACCACCTCTCTGGGCAACCTGTGCAGTGATCTACAATGATCAGGTTAGATGACTGCTAACCCGTCCAAACTAAGCTAGCTAATAATTTGAACTAATAACCACCTAATGATGGCACTCTTAACTCTCCAGGCCACAAGGATCTTTCTAACACAGCTTCCTGATGGGTCCTGACAGCGTGTACAGCACACGTTTTCCTGCAAGGCTCTGCACTCTTTTCCCACTTCAGTCACTTCAGATTTCTTCCTGTTGCTGGGATTATCTCTTCACCAGTCCAGTTTAAAGATGCCATATCTCCTCTCAAAGCATTTCACAAGCAACTGCGAAGTATCTTTAACATCCAAGACGCCTCTGAGTTCACTGCTTTCCTGTTCTGAACTGGCTGGAAGCTGGGTAGTTGTGGCTGATGTGACTGTGCTCCTAAGCAGGACACATTAACTTAAGCCCAGCATGGTGCTAACTCAGCTACACAGCTTAAAGCCACCTCAAAACATTAGCAAAGCCAAATTCATGTCCAGCTGCCAAAAGGCACATAGACAAGACCAACGTTCCTAATTTATAGCTCTTTTTGGAAGCTAAGATGTATTTTTTGCTGCCCAAGGCTCTCATTTGTCTTCTAACAAGAGCATAGATTTATGCCACATGCAGCAAAGGCTCCTTTGACACAGGAGCTTGTAGGCTGAGTAGAAGATTTCAATTTGTCACAAGTTATGTCATCAAACATCCAGTTGGATCAAAATCATTTCTGTACCTGATGCCTGTGCCTGAAGAAGGCACTGACTGCTGAGAAGATGGGATTGAGTCTGACATTAGGACACCTACATTTGGGTATCTACGCAACATCTGAAACAATATCTGTTCCTTGAGGTTGTCCTGGTTTGAGCTAAATAGAACTAATTTTCTATTTAGTTATTTTACTTTTCAGCTCAGTCTCTTCTAAGTGGCTGAACTTGCTGAAACTAGCAGGATGTTTTTCCAGACACTGTGTACTGCTACTTGACAATCTCAAGCCCACTGTCTCACCATGGGTGCCATGTCTGTGCCTATGGGGGGGAAGCAGACCCAAAATTGATCAATGAGGTATTCCATCCCACACACGTCATATTCAGTATAAAGCTGAGGGATCAGAAGGGTCAACTTCTTCCATCTTGGAGCCCTCCTTCCACCTCGGACCCTTCCTTCAGTCTCAACACCTTCAATGGCCAAAGTCTGAGCAGAACCTGCTGGTTCGTCTGCCTCTGATCCTGATCCCTGTGTTCCTGCATCAGCTCCCACTGCTGCTGGGTCCGGTCTGGGACTTTTCCAGTGCCCTGCTCCGCAGAGCCTCTGGTGACGTATTCGTCACTGGGGGGAAGGGGGGGCGAGGATTTTATATTGGTTTTGTATATATTTGTACATATCTGTATATATTTCATTATTTTCCTATTTACATTACTATCCTGTAGTATCAGTATTATTGTTTTATTAAATCTGTTAGTTTTATTTTCCATCCTATGAAGTCTTTCTCCCTTATTCTCTTTTCTCTTCCCTTCTGGGGAGATAAGGGTTAATAGAGAGTGTCTGGCCAGGATTTAGTGGCCAGCCCAGCCCTAAACCACAACAGAGGTGCACTCAGACTTTGCTTCCTTGGTCCTGGTGGCCAAGCTCCAATCGCTGCTCCTGAAGGACACAGATATTGCAGAGGGCCTGTGTCACACCTGCCAGGTGCATGGAAAAACACTGGGGCAATTTAAACTACACTGCACAACCACATATGGGCAACCAGATCCCAGACAAAATGGGAATTTAGGAGCAAAGCAGTCCCAGAGTTTTATCAGCTATGCCACAGGTCTCAACCACAAGTAAAGCAGTGATGTATTCATGTAACCCATCAGCAAATGCTTGCTACAGGAGCTTATGCCCCCTACAACTGGCCCACAGCTGAAAAACCCTAAAATTTCCTTTGCTACATTACCAACACCCTGTCATAAAGCCTGCAACACTGGACTTGGGGCCGATCTTAAAAGCTCCTGTTCCCATCCCATGTATCAATCACTGCATTTGAAGTCAGACCATGTTATTCGTTAGCACTCTGGCTATGAATTGCCAAGCTTGAAAGCGGTATTGTTTTCTGCATTAAAAATAAACATGAGACATAGGGGGTACCTCCTGGCTGATGCATGGCATCTGTCAGGATGATCTGATAGTCAATATGTAACAACAGACCCACATGTGTGCTTGCATCTCACCTTTAATCAAAATGGAGAAATGAGAAATGGAGGATTAGGGAAATCTGTGGGGATTTTTATTTATTCATTTATTTTTTAAGAACACAAAACAACCCAAGTATTCGTCTGTAACACTGCGCATTATGTAGAGATTTCAAAAATATTCACAAATATTAATATTTGTAAGGCTTGTCACAAATCCTTAAAGATCTAATAAATGAGTTCTTAAGCTTTTGCAAACATGGGTGGGGGAACAGCTGCACTTTCATCTGTTTAAGGACCATGCTATTTAAGAAGTTTTTAAGCTATCACCATAGCTGCAAAGTTTTTAAAAGCAAAAACAGAGTAAAGGAAATAATCCTGTCCTCTAGCCACGCTTCTCCAGCCTCTTCAAACAAAACTCCTCTGTATTTGCCTGTGAGAGATAAAGACTGTTTAAGTCATGTAGACTAATGCGTGAAGACTGTCATTAAAACACAGCAGCATTTTCCTGAGTTGGTGCAGCAGGTTGCTGCAATCAGCTCAGGCTTCCCCTGTCACCTAAACCACACCAAAGATTTTGAGTCTTCACCCATTCGCCTCATTCTCTGACTTAGCACTGGTGCTCCATAAACCCCTTTTCACTAATTTTTAAGAGGGTGGTCTCACAGCAGTGCAAATCTATTTCAGTCAGAGATGGTCTGCTATCATGGTCTGCTGTCTCCCCTCAGCTCCAGCCACACTTTCGCTCCCCTGGCTTGTGCTGGTCTCAGCACCCTTGTCATAATGCAATGAGATGGTTTAGGGAACTGATCCATCTGAAAATGGACCCAGCAAAATGTTAGTTTTTCACTTTAAGTGGGAAAGAAATGTAAGGAGGGGCTGCATTGGGGCTGTCCCATCTTAGATCAGCTTAAATTGCCATGGGAGCCTACCCCACCTTGTATGTGCATCAGTGCCTCTGGAGGGCAGTCATGTACTGGTACATTTTGTCTTACTTTCCAGAAGCCAATGGAGGTGCGTGGGGGTGGGCTACCACCAAATTCTCTATCCAGTGGGCACTGCTCAGCAGCTGGTGTGCAGTTATCTGCTTTCTGATTCACCTGTCAAAGCTCACACTCAGCAACAACATGGACCTTACAGGATGGATGGTGGCCCACAGCCAAAGCCTATCATGACTGTTAGGGCTACAGCACCACCTCAGACAGTTGCAGAGCACTAAATCTGGATTAGGTCTTAGTAGGTCTTAGTAGACCTTGTCTTATAAAATGCTGTTTGCAGCTGGTGTGGCATAACCCCAGCGACAGAATGGGAGGAATGAACTCCAAAACAGGCCTGAGCTGCTGGATCCATCCTGGTTCTTAGGGGGAAAGCCACCCCTGGCAGAGAGACAGCCCAAAGCCTGTGTGTGCTTACGTGTCCCATCATAACACTCAAAACAGAAGGAGGAGAAACAGAATATGGCATGAAAGGCTTGAAGGTTTAAACTGTGTGAGGATCAATGTCTGTGACGCCTCCAAGAAAAACGGAGACATTTGACAAGAAAAGGACTTTGCATAATTGTTTTCAGCTTTTCTGAAGGTGCTTAACCCTATGTGCTAATTCCACTCTGTAAATTCCTATATAATGCAAGACTGGCTCAATCTTCTAAAGACAGCTGGGACCCATGTCTGCTTTTTATGTATTTTTCTGCTGCTGCCCCTTTACATATTTGCTGAAGGAAAAATAACATTGAGATCTGGAAAGGCCAGTGGTTGATGAGACCTCAGAAGTGATAGGTACAGGGTGGAATCAGCTGGTGAAGCTGATTTTTCAGTGCCAAAGAAGCTTTTGGTCTTATTGTTATTATGACTAACATTTACTGTAGCAGCTGTAGGCTCTGAATAAAGCTAGGAAGGATCTGCATAAACATCCAGCATCGGGGACAAAGCGTAATAAAGCATCCTTTTTTAAAAACCATGTGAGTAGGGGATAATGGAGGGAAGTGATTTGCCTGAATTCACAGGAAGGATTTGTTGCAGGGACAGGAATGGAATCTGTCTCAGAAACCCCAAATTAGTATGTTAACCTTAAGCTCAGGTTTGCATTCGTGTATGCTGAGAAATGTCATTGAGAAGAACGAGGGGAAAAATACAGACCTTGTCGTCCAGAATAGGCTCGCACTGAGAGTAGTTTATCTTGGAAGCCCATGTCCCATTGCCCAGGCATTCTCTGTAGGCATTTCCTGGTAGAGACCAAAATAAAAGAGAGATGAACGCTCTGTGCTGGACTTTAAACAGCCCAGCAATTTCACAAATTTAGGAAAAGGTTACAGAACAGATTATTCACAAGGCAAATCTACTGATCCCACCTCTGTGAGGACTAGAACTGCCTGCTGAGGAGGGAAGAGGAGAAACACAGGACATAAACACATCTAGAGACAAGTGTTTAAAAATACTTATTGATAATGTCGTCTTACAGCATATGGATTCAGAAGACAGCAAAGGTATGAGAAAAGTATTGCAAGAGAAAGCTTAAAGTTAGTATAGGCTTTTAAAAAGCAGTTCAATGATGTATCCAGAAACGGACAGAAAAGTTTAGGTCTTTAGTGCTCCATTGAGGAGAATGGTATGTGTATGGTAAATTTATTGCTCTACTTCCCACCCATTTATCCCACCGTAAACATTTCTGGAGATACTAATTTTCTAGTCTTCCTATGCAACAACGTTATTGGGAAAACTTCTGCAAAGAACCCGAAAAGGGAGGAATTTAACCACATCTCCCAGCCCTGGAGTGGGGAGGTGACACAAGAATGTCCATGAGCAGATTTCAGAGAGGCGCACACCTAGGTTAGGATGTGTTCACCCATCCTCTCTGAAAACGATATCACTTCCAGTCTTGCTCCAAGGTGCCAGCTCTCCCAGAACATAAGTGGAAATCACAAATTACTCTGCTGAAGCAAAGAGATTTCATGTCCAATTGCAATGTCACCCTGAGGAGTTCTGGGAACTGCGTGTAGTAAAACTGGGGGCGAGGAGGGGAGTTCAGTTTTTGGCAAGCCCTTCTCTTCATCCTGAGGAACTCAAGAGAGAAGACTACGCAGTTTTGCTGTACAAACTACCTCCATCAAAAGCACATCCCATCCCAAGCAATAGGGTTTTTTCCACACTTATTTTGAACTGTGTCTTAGAAACAAGAGAATTAAAATAAAACAGGAAATTCAGAAAGAGCCCCAAAGGACACATACAAACAGCTTCCTAATGAACTCTTCATGATGTTCTTGCTGCCTTTTACCCAATTTCTTCTTGGGCCTTTGCCATGGTCATTCAGTGCTAGTTCAGCACCCAGCCATCAGGAAAATAAGACATCAAATAAAAGCATCAGATTGAATGTTCCTAAAAGTGGTGCTGACAACAGCCACTGGAAAAGGTAGAAAGACTTTCAAAAAGGTGCTTTTTCCTACAGAGAAGGAAAGCCCACATGGAAAGCAACAAGGATTCACTGAGATGCTCCAGATTACACCATATCCATACAGATAATTGAATTTCATACTGCTATTGTCCATCTGCAGCTTTTCACTGTTTCTTCTTGGAGTAATAAAATAAAATAAAATAAAATAAAATAATAAAATGACGACTATTAACATTTGAGTCAACTACAGAAACTTGTGCTAAAGGTTAAGGACCTCAGTCTCCATTTCTGCCACTAATTTACAAATTTACATACTTCCCATCCTTTGGGCCAGTGCTGAAGCTCTCTGTGCAGAATGGTTGCTGATTTTGAGTCTCTGTAGCAAACATTTGACCCTCCAGGCACTGAGCGGGAAGCTCTGCTGCTTAGTTGGATATTGAATCCCCCTTCCAGGATAGCACTCACAAGAAATCCTTGTTTTACTCATTCTGACTCTTCCTTCCCCTCACCACATCTTCCCAGCTCAGGTGTGGAGACCAGAAACACAGTCAACGTTATGAGACACTCAGAATGTCCAACTGAGTCTACATAACTACGTGAGAGGGAAAGGTGCATTTGAACCAAGGAGTTATTTATCCATGCAAAAGGAAAACCATCACAAACCATCTATTCTACTTTATCAGGCCACAGTGCCTCTGTCTCCTGCACTACATCTTCCCTGCTCATGAAAACCTTCTTTTCAGAAGGACAAATGTGTGTCTCATGATTCTTGTTCAAAATAATGAAATAAGTTGCCCAGGGAAGCTGTGGATGCCCCCTCCCTGGCAGTGCTCAAGGCCAGGTTGGACGGGGCTTTGAGCAGCCTGGGCTGGTGGAGGTGTCCCTGCCCATGGCAGGGGTTGGGCTGGATGAGCTTTAAGGTCCCTTCCAACCGAAACCATTCTATGACTCTACCATCAGCAAAGCACAATGGAGAGTAATGAATGTCATCCATTTCCACATCCATTTCGAAGTGTAATCCCTCCACTTAGACTATTAGGAGCCATAAAATAGAGTTCTGAGCTCTCTTTCAGTGCAAATGCAGGAATCCTATGCAACACTGACATCAATGCAGTTATTTGAGAAACAGTGATCTGGGTTTATGAGCTGTCACACCAGACTCTTACATGCTGAGCACCAGAAGAAGAGGAGGATAAAATCAAACCCTGAATTTCTCTAGTCTAGAATCTCCTCCAGTATCAGCCACTTCTTGTAAACAACTGCAACAAGTAGATCTGACTTCTGGAAATGTCTCATTCCAAACTCATAAGTCATAAGTAATTTATAACCCAAAGCAAAGGTCTTCTTTCTTTCATCCAAATGCCTTACAGCAGTAGTTCTGCTGGCCACATGGAAACAAGTTTCCAATCATACTGAATGTATTTTCATATATCCATTGTAATAACATAATAAAGAACTTTTACCCAGTGCTTTAAAGGAGAAATATCTGATTTAGTGAGCGAGGTAATATTAGAGAGTAAAAGCCTCACTGCAGGCATCTGGAAGACGTAGCATCTTCTTCATGCACAGATGAATCCCATGGCATCAGTAAACGAGTTCTTGGGGATACGGCACCAATTGCATATGCAGTGGACAGACTCACTGTGTTCAGTCAGTCACATTTGGCACGTGCTCTGTGCCTGTGTATCTCTCCACAGAAGGCCCTGGATAAAATAACTGCAACTTCAAGTAATCTTCTTAGTCTTTTTCATAGCAGCAAACAGCTGCTTCATAGCAAACCTACTTACTGTCAAAATCAGCACAGAGAAGACGTAGAGATAACAGACACTGGACGCAGTGACAGGCTGAGTCCCTGGGACATGCAGAGTTGTAGCATTGACTAAAGCAGCAAAGAGATGCCAAAAAAGTGACATACACATTGGTTCTATGAAAGACAGCAATGGAAGATGTGTGTCCTCCAGCTTCAGTGTGTGCAAAGGAAGAGGGAAACAAACAGTCAGTGATCTTACCAAGAGACTTCTATGGTCTCTTTGGTGACTGAACATGCTGAATAATATTCCTTCTCACCTGGTTTTCCAATGAGAACTGGGATTAACATACTTTGTGCTAGAAGCATTCTTGCCCTTTGCTTTAAAGCACTGTGTAAAGATTGTACTAAGTTCAGATTTCTCAATAATTGTCGTGAAAAAGTAAGGAGAAAATGGAGGAGTCATGATGGAGAACTCCACTGTAGAAACAAACAATGAACACCCAGGAAGCAAAGAACAGTTACGCGATCTTTCTAGGGCAACAACAGCTAATGAGAGCTACTAGCATTATTTCTTTTCTTCCTAGTTAAAAGAATAAAGTGCCAATTCTCCTTTCCTTAGACAGGTGGCATACTGAAGAACTCAGTATACTTTCTATTCTTGTAATTTCTCCTTCCTTACTGACTTTATTCTAAAGAACAAACACACAAAATAAAGAGCTTTTTGGTGGTTATAACATGTGGCTATTCATGCTCTGTGTGCACTTGCACTCATACAACACAACTGGACAAGCAGACTTAATCTTCATGCAAATGAATAACAAGCAGTAGATGACTCACGATGACACAGGCAACACACAGCCATTAGACACATCATCCAATATTCACTGCTACGCTACAATCTGTGGCCCCTTCTTTGACTTTGAAAATGTTGACTTCCTTTTGTTGTAGGTTATTAGCAACATTTGTGGCACCTGATTGCTTCTACTTAACCATCCAAGGGACGGGCAAGGAGGTAAAAGGGAACTCCCCAAACAGAAAGAAATACTCAGCAGTGCTCAGACTGTCACTCACATTGCTAACTTCCAGAAAATGTATTTCAACCTCTCCAGGCCAGCCAGTATAACATACTCATTTTAATACTTTCTCTAAGGGCTGATGCAGTCATGCTGATCATAGTCACAGTCTATCAATAAAGCCGATGACAGCTATGGCAGCATTCCCAGAGTCAAACACAGCAATTACAGTGTGCTGGGATAACTTCCACTACTGCTCCTGCTCTGCAGTGGTGGCTGCTGCTTTGATAGCCACACACGAGCCAACATTTCAGCTCCATACGCAATATAGACACGCGTACACAAAGACAATAGAAATACGAGCATTTGCAGTTCTCGTGGGCTCTAAGGTGATGTAAAAGGGATCTCCACTTCTGAAAAACTTCGTATCACATCATAAAAAAGTAGGTAAGAAATCTTGAGCGTGACTGTAACAAAGCATCGGCAGGAGTAGAACTGGGAAACCCTTTTCCTTACAACCAGCTACCCAGAGCAAGAACAGCGAATCTTCCACGTACAAGCATGTAAAAGCAATGTTTGCTGAACGTCATAGTGAACAACACTGTTCCAACCCATTTCATGAAGCCCTTGTTAGCAACTTGTCACTGTTTATAGTCTTAGCTTAAATAGCCCATAAGAGCCCCATCAGCAAGCAGGGAACGTCAATCACTGAAGATTTCACAGGGTCTTGAGAAATGGAGATCTTTCCTGTTGGTAAGTGTTCAGGAATGAGCAGGGTGGTGAGGGTACTGTAGGTAGCAACATGGTCCCGAATCTTCCTCAGTCCATTTCCATGGATTCCTTCCTATCCAAGTGTCCTAATCACTGGAATATTGTGCGATTCTCCCAGTGCCTCCTCCAAATAATTTGTTACTCGTTTAATGTTCAAAATAAGACATTTTGCTTGGTATTAAGAAAAAAAAAATTCCCTTGGGTACTTATTTGCCATGATCCCCAGTATATATAACAGGAACTGCATGACATAAATTCCTTGGATTGGCTGCTCAGATTTCATAGGATCCAGATCAAATG